ACGAAAGGAATTTTTCATTTGCCCGACTGGCCTTTTTATTAACAAGCTCGTTGCCTAGCCGGAAAAGCTGCGCATCAAACTATGGACATGGATACCTTTTTCTTTTTTTGTATTTTCTTTTGGGGCTGTGTGATGATTACGTTTATGGTATATACGATGCGCTTCGTATACGCAATGTGGTTTTGTCTGGTCTCGACGGTGTAATCGGCAAAGTTAAATTTCGCACTTTTGCAGCACAAACTTTGTTGGCTTTGATTTGGCCCAGCAGCATATTAACAACAGCGTATATTTTTGTTCTTTTTCCAGTTTGCTGTTTTCTGTGATGCGCGGAAGAGAGTATTTTTTGGGCAGCAGCAAGTTTAAAGCACTTGCCATAAATTATGTTCGGAGCTGTCGGCATAGCCCTTTTCGACCTGATTGCTTGATTTATCCGCTGTCTTTAGGCTAAAGACTTTATTGGAAAAGTTTGATTGGCGCTGCTGATGCTTCTACCCCCCTCCCCCTCCCCCTTCCTTCACCCATCCCACTTTCCCCCGATTACTCAATTTCACCGTTGGTATGCAATATAAAAAAAAGTGGTTAAAAACTGATTGACGTCAACGTCGTCTCTGGGACCATAAATCAAAAATGCATACGGCAAAAAGGCGCAATTTCAAAATGTTTAAAAATTAATGGAGCTGCTTCGAGAGAACTCAATCAATAACCGATACAGCCAAAAAAAAAATAGGCATTTAATATACACATACGTTTGCGTGTGTATGTGTGTGACCGTGTGCTTTAGGGCATTTCAAACTTGGCAAAGAACGCTTCGCTTGCAGTTAGTAATTCCAATTTTAATGACCGCAGTGAAACTGACTGCATTCAATTTACCCTACAGTTGGGTCCATTTGTTTATGGTTGTCATGAAAATATGTATGCCAGATACTATAAATAATTTATAAGTGCTCATGCATTTAGCACGCATGCAAATTCTACAGTTTTACAAAACGCAGTCAAACATTGTCAATTTAATAAAAAGCAGGCAACATAAATGAATTAAAGCACATACATTAAAGCGTAATCTAAAAAAGAATGAATCAGTGACATATTTCAGCAAGGACATTAAGTTGTCGTTGCTTATCCGATGTACATTACTTTTTTCCTTTCTCACAAATTTAATCAGCGCTTAAAAAATAAAAATAAATACACGTATTTGAGTGTGTGTGTAGAGCGGAAGAAATTGGTTTATTAAAAATGCTTTTAAGCATCGTTATCGAAACGGCGATAAAATAAATACAACATAAAGTACAACACATACCGGCACTTGTAAATAAAAATGAGAATAAATAATACAAATAAAAATACAGCAAGAAAAACAACAAAAATAATGGAGGCAAGTTCTGCAATCTGCACTCGAAACAAGTGGGACGGGTGCTGTGGCATTGTTGAATTTATTATCTGTTGCATAAATCAACGTTTTAATTATGTGGCAGCCAGGCAGGCGCTCTCCTGAAAAAGTACATAAAAATGTTAATTACCTGCAGACAAGGGACGACTATATTGGAGTGAAAGAGAAAGTTCTGAGTTCTTGTAGACATCAAAATGAGTGGCAAACAAACGCACAGAAAAGCCTCTGGTATTGCACAAAGAGCTGCTTTAATTAGAGACGCGCATAAAATACAAAAAAAAAATCCCAAATGGAACAGCGATCGAAGGCAGGACGAATGTTACATACCCTTGTAAGCTAGCGATAAATACACATCTAAATTGCATAGCAGATTATTCGTAATGCAGTTAACAGGCCATTAGTGATGTGGTAATAAAACTGTAAAATAACATCTGTACATAACATTGATATCGATGGATATCGAAAAGAAATATAATTTAAATTAGACTGCTACAATTAAAAAATACAAATTATATTTATTTACCAAAAAACAATGAAAAAAATTACAATAATAATATAAATGGCTTAGAAACCAAACTGGAGTATTCCAATCATGAATTCTGTCAATAATCTATCTACAATATTTAAATACCCCCAAAAGAGTATTCCAAATGCCGTCTAAGGAGTCTGAAAGCAGCTTAAGAAGCAGATTTGCTTCTAAATCTTTTTAATTCTGGCGCAATTATCAACGCTTCTGGCATATGCAATTGAATGTCTGTCGCTTGCTCTTGTTCTTGGTCTACTGGGCACTTGGGGCGTGGCAACAGCTTGTAGCGCAAGGCATTTTGGCCTTTAGGGCTGTGGTTGCCCCCAACGACACGGCAAGCCTGCTGTTTACTTGTGCTTTTGTTTGTTTACGGCCCTTTTGTTGCTAATGATTGTCTCCCCCTCCCTACCTGCCTAGTTGTGTGTGTTTTGTGAGTGTATGAGTGGGTGCCAGTTAGCATGTAGATTTCGTTCTATGCCGTGTGGCTTTTATATGAGATTTGCAAATTGCCTTTTATAATATTTAATACGCCATAGCAAACCCAGCCAGGCCAGCAGAAGCTGTTTACCACCAGGAAAGCAGGGAGTTGTGTACACTCACAGTTTTGTACTTTCATTTTATGATTTTAACAACGCTTTTATTGCTTAATATGGCTAAGCAAATACTCTTGGCACAAATTGTCGCCGTGGCTGGCAGCTGTATAGAATGTTTTTCCCGGCCATTTTCAATCGAGGAAACTGTTTATGGCAATTTTGCGGGTTTTTGGGTTGCCCGATAGTGTTCCTGTAATGTATCCTTAATGTGTTTTAATATGCAATTAATGTGCTTTGTACGTTTTAATGCGGGACTTGGCATATTTATTTGTTTTCATAAATACACAAGCGACAGTTGTGCATATAAATCATACGCCCAGTGCGCCACATAAATCAACATGAATGTCACTATCTTACACTTGAGCCCGTACTCCTTAGCAATACCCTATATCCAATCTAACATATCCTTTAACTTAGCTTGTATGCGACTTATCATTAACACGGCTCAACGCCTTTTCCCATACGACTTTCACTACTCAACTCTGTTTATTCTTCGGTCGGTCGGTCTGCACTTGATTGAAGCTTTTTGAAGTGTATTTGAGGCCTCTGTGCGTTACTTGCCCTGTAGTTGACACATTAATATAAGCGGCGCAAAAAGATTTATGGCGCGCAACCCAAACAAAAAGAACAACAGGCAAAAAGTTGCTGTCCAAACTAAATAAAGTCATATAAATAATAGGTCAGTGACAGCTGCCGCCTGCTGAGACCGCACCCAATTGCTTTATCAGCTAAGCTATCAATACCAAATTGCACTCACTTAAAATATGCGTCTTAGACTCCCACCCCCGCCGATAACTTATTAAATTTGATATTAGACCCAACACCAAAAAAAATAAATAAAATTTAAACATATATACTTACTTATGTATACATAACGACTTTGAGCAACTTGATTATTCCGACAAATTGAGGTTCTACGACCGCCTTTTGCTTAACGCCAAACTCAAGCTAATGTGCACTCATTAGAACCAGGGAATTTTCTTTTTTGCTTTTTTCTTGCAATACCCTGCAGTCCCAAAAATTGTTAAAATTGGGATATAAAATACTAATAATCAATCATAGCCTAAGCAATAAATATCGAATCATTTATATACAAATAAAAAGGAAATTTACTTATGTTTATTTTTGAATTTTCTCACAGAAATTTGGAGCATTTCAAATTGTACATAGGGTATTTTTTAGTCAATCTTTAGTAGTGCATTCCAACTTGTTTTGTGGTTGTGCTGCATTGCTTCACGTTTTTGCGAGGGGACAGCACATAAAAATAAAAATAGAAATAAAAATAAATTTAAAGGCAGACAGCAAATTATGCAGCGAAGCGTATAATTAATCTGTTGGCATTAATTGCGGCAAAGGCTGCAGAAAACCGCAAAGCGGGAGGCGTCAAATGAAAAGAAAGCCTGAAATTATTTTAACGCTCAGCCAGCGAGATAAACTAACCAAGCAACCGCTCATCGAGCCCCTTGAGCTCTCCCTGAGCTGCTGTACAGAGCTCTCAGCGTTTTTCAGTTGCGCATCCACTTAAATGTCATTCGTTGCCAGTGAAGCGTGGCAACCAAATATAAATCTGTGGCAAGGACAACGCGGCTTATTGAGATATCTCGGGATGGCTGGATTGTGCAGAGATGAGAGGCTGATTGGCCCAACTAAATTCGGGCCTTAAATGCGCTTTTAAAGCTGTCAGACGACTGATGAACTGCTGTCTAAACAACCGACTGCCCGACAGACAACAGACTGACAGAGTGTGCCAGTCGTTGTGTGTAATTAATTGCTGACCAAGTTGAGCGGCAGCCAAACAGGCAACACATTCCCATGCAACCATGTACGCTTACTGGCAGGTCAGTTGAAGCTCAGGCAGAGGCAGAGGCGAAGACTGAGGCTGAGGCACGGTTTGAGGCCAGGCAAGAAAAACGACTGCACAATTTATAAAAGTCAACACTTAAGCACGTTTCAGCATTTGAGCAGCACCTGGGCAGAGGTTCACTTCATTTTATTATCAAGCGTATTTCTGCACGTAATTGTTTTGACGTCACTCTTGCAAATTGTCCTTTTTTGTTGTAGTGTTTTTTATCTGCGCCAGGGCCATGTCATGACCCGCTGACTGCCTGCTTTTATATTTTATTTCGTTGATTCTTTTTTTTTTTCTCAACTAGTTCATTAACCGATGGCTATGCAATTAATTGCTAAATACCAGAGCTAATGACGCATAACCACACAAACACCCAGCAATACACCAACAACCGCACGCACGCAGTGAATTCTCTTTGTTACAAATGACCGCGCCGCACGTGCGTTGCCGGCCACCTGGCGTATGCGCAATGTGCCAAGCAATTTGTCGCAAAACCGTCGACTGATACAATTAACAGCGATATCTGTTTTTGTCAATCATGATTTAATGCTATTCAGCGTCAGTTTTGCCCTGGCATGCCTTAAATTTAAACTCGGATTAGCTTGAGCATAGCAAATGGTTTAGATAAGAGACTTCGTTACTCACCCCTTGCAAAGTCGACAGTTTCTTCCTTTAAACTGCTGAAAGTAAAACAAAATTTAAAAAAGAAATTAGCACAGTTAGGGTAAACTTTGCACAGCTTAGGAACAGTTCAAAGGAAAACACAAATACAAATAACTGATGAAGAGGCCACAAACAACGAGATACTCTTTCCCCAGTGTGAACATTGTTAGGGAAAAGATGGTTTTGATATCGCAACATAAGCTGAGATTGACAAAAAAATCTACATCTAAAAAAATGTATTTTGTATTTATTGTAAAAGTTGTCAGTTAGATTACAACTTAATAAAATGATATATATATATGTATATCCTTTTGCTAACTTCATTTTTTTTTAGCTAATCGAAATAATAAATAGCTTAATTATTCAATTAATAAAAAGGTTATAAGAATACTCAACTCATACACAACTGGTAACAGTATATAGGAAAAGTTCTTTGCTTTCCACGGCGCATTTTCTGACTGTTTGTTGTGTCTGCCGGTGGGTGATGTGCCCTTACATGCAAAACAAACAAGTAGAACAAACATACACTCACAAACACGCATTAAGCATTGACATTGAACTAAAAGCTAAAGAGATAGGGAGAGCAGCAGCAGCTCGTTGATTACCGCCTGCTGAGTCAGCCAAGTTAACAGCAGCAGCATCCACATCCACATCAGCATCAGATCGCATGCTATTGACATTAGAGACTAGAATCTGTAGCTGAAACAGAATCTGAATCAGAATCTGTTTTGTGCCTTTGCTGGGGCTTAAGTGCAATCAATGCTGCCAAAGTCAGTGAGCTCCGAGCTTCTAAATCAACGTCACGCCCATCACTGACAACGCCATCACCATTACCATCATCATCATCGTCATCATTATCACCCCCCCATAACGTTCCATTCATCATCATTTGGGAATTTGAATGGAGTTTTGCATTGTCATCGGATTTGTAGACTGCGAATGAAGCGTTAATCCTTCTAACAGTTATTAAACATGCTTCTGGGGACCAAAAGAAAATCTTGTGAAATGCGCAGTGTGCGCGCCTCTTATTAAATATGAGTGTTTGCCATCGTTTTTTAGCTAGAGTTTCAATTAATTATTGGCAATTCCAGACTGCAAAAACAACAAAGTGCAAAATAAACAAAACAAAAAATGAAAAGAAGAAAAAAGCAAAATGGAAATAAATTAATTATGCTCGCCTGGCAGCGCGCTATGGAAGTTAGCGACAAGCCTTTAGCAAATAATTAAAAAGGGACGAGCTGGCCAAATCTGAAAAAGTAATTATTTGGAGCAGGCCTCAACCCGTTGCCCCCATCGATGTACAAATGACGCTGGGGGAAAGCCAAACTTTTCAGCGAATTAAAATTAATGAAAATAAATTTTGCAAATTGTTTTAGCAACCCCTTTTTTTTTGGTTGTACAGCGGCCGAGTTGACTCTTGAAAATGATTCAAGTGTAATAAAGCAAAGCAAAGGACGAAGGGTTACGCCACTCGTCGGGCAGAGCACTGTCAATTGAAATGCTGGGGCTGAGTCTCTGAAAGAGAGAGAGAGAGGGGCTCTGGTTTACGGGCGTCTGTGGGGGGATGGTGCACTGACTTGGCACATGAAAACACTTAAGAAATTTAGTTCTTGTTCTCAATCTTGTATTTGAGGTCATTTCTGGGCTCAGGCGCTGGGTTCAACTGTGAAGTTTGACCTTTTCTTTTGCCTTTTCACTCGGTGTTTGTATTTGACTGTTGTTTGTTGATGTTGCTTGGCCCTCTTTATGTAAACGGTTTGATGGAAATCTTCAAGTTCATTTGCCGACGTATTAAATTAATTAAATATTCGATTAGGCAAAAGTGCACTTAAAGCAACTGACAATTTTCAAATTCATTAATATCACGCGTTGACTTTTATTTTCATTACATTATACATTATTCAGCAAAATGGCGGATGTAGCACAGCTTTTGTTCTGCAACGTGGCTAATTAGCTGCCAGCAAATCCACAACGTAGCCCCAAAGCATACATATGTACATCTGTATGTGTAAATCCCGTATCTGTGTTTGTATAACATGCTTATTGGTTTATTTTCCATGAACGTTTTATGCGACTTTTGCCAAAAACTCGCTGCCATTTGTTTATTTAATTAAGCGCATTAAATGTTCAACGGTTTGAGCGATTCGTTTTGCTACACAGCCAACGCCAATCCCCCCCTTCCACTGTCCCTCTGTCCTGTTTGTGTGAGTTAACTGTGCATATGGACATATGCTAACAGAACACATGTATGTATGCATAATTAATGGCCAGCTTTGTGTCTCCCTCCTCACTATTATTTGAGCCATATTGAGCTGTTTGACCATATTGTAACTGTAGTCTTACAGCTTTCTGTCCCTCAGCATATGTTGGCTACAAAAGATTTTTTTTATCTGGTTGACATTTAAAACGCCTAATTAGCTGCGGACCCAATGCTGAAGTGTCATTGTCATGAAATTATTGGAGCGTGCGACTGCCGGACAACCCACTGCAACCCATCATCGCACCATGCCACAGAAATGCTTATTATGCCGAGCTGCAGATAAATTTAATTTATTCAAAATAACACACATTGTGCGGCAGCATGTCCTTGCCAAACTTCTGACCACACAGCCCCAAAAAGTGTCCGCTGTGTTTGTGTGTGTATATGTATGTGTGTTTGTGTACGTGTATAGGGGGGAATTTCCATGGGTCCAGCTTCTAATTTTCACGCAAGAGCGCGTTTTTGAGTATACTGTTATTTAAAAAAGGAGCAGCCCGTAACAGATCCTTGACCATTCGTATCAGAGGCATGCTCAATTTAATTTGAATTGTGCCAACCCCCGCCACACGCAACACCCAACCACTGTCTGCCTTTTATATGGGTGTGCTTATTTTATTTATGTCGCTTACGCCTCATGTTATAGGTTAGCGCTAGCAAACTCTGGCTTAGGTTTAGAATACGGTCATAAATTAATGCACTTCCTGCATGAATTTTTGGCCATCTAAAAATTATTACGGACTAGTCCTCAAATGGCTGCTAAGTCTCTCTCTCTCTCTCTCTCTCTGTTTAAAGTTCTTTGAACTTTATGGGCTTGATCTACTAGGCGTTCCATACAAATGACAAACTTTGCTCGGGTTCTAGTTGAAATGTTAGGCTGCCGTTCGTAATTTATGTGCTCTACGTGTGACTGACAAGTTTATGTTTTAATTTTTTGGCTTCATAAATTTACCAATACATACTTGCAGATTCCGAAAATAAGCGTTACTGAACTGGGCTATAAATTTTACGTGACTGGACTTTAAGGATTTTTGGCAAACAATTTCTCTCGTTTAACTAAATGCCTGTGAATACCTTTTTTGCTGCAAAACCTGGCGAGCTATTGAAATGTGAGGCAAATTAAAATAGGCGGGGCCACATGGCTACACCCACCGCGTGAGTGTGTGTGTGTGTGTGTGTGTGTGTGTGTACGCGTGTGTTTGCTATTTATACTTATGTAATCAGCGTAGAGTTAGGTTCACATTTTATGGTCGTTTTTGTCTCGTTCGCTTTGAAAATTGTTTGTAATGGCATTATGAACACTTGGCTGCATGTGGCCAGAGCCAAAGCTAAAGCGCTGAACCACTCCGCGTATGCTCAACATCGATTTTCTATGTACTCTGCGGTTACGTGTGTGTGTATTAGTTGAAATTGCGGCTGCTTTAATTTGTGTTTATTTTAGAGCATTTTTTGCGTGCCATATTTATTTTACTTTACAGTCATTAAATGAATTAATGTGTGGTTCTCATTCTTAGTTGCACTCGCTCACTCTTTCTCACTCTCTCCCGTATTTTCACTGACTATTTATATTTTCTCTTTTGCACAGCACACGAGTCTCGCGGCTCAAGCCGCCGTCTCACACTAAACCCGCACCGGAACGTAGCTATGGCAATGGCCGCAATTGAGCCGCATCTCTGAGTTCTTTTCAAAAAAGTTTTTTGTCTAAACATTCAAACTGAAAACAGACATAAACGGAGCCGGAGGCTAAGTAAAAAGTGTGCGATGTGTACGTTTTGCTTAGCCAACTTTATTTTACTTCAATTTACTTTATTGCGAGGCAAAGTGAAAGGCTTTCATCGTCGAGGTCTTTAAGTGAATGGTAAGGGGGGATTTGGTGAATTGAATTTGTTTTATATACCCTGTAGACATACAAGTAGTTTAGAAAGGGCAAATACAATCTTAAAAGTTAAATTAATTGTAATACAGTAGAAAATAAAGTTTTTATTTAGCTGCTTGCTCTTATAAGTCTCCATTCTGTATTTTAAGCTTTTAAAGTGTTAAACATTTATAAAACCAATTACTGCAGCAACAAATTAAAATTTGCCATGTATTTACTTAAGTATTAAGTAAGTATATATGGATGTTCAGAAGTATATGAAGACTGCTGAGGAGATATCAACTTTAAAAACCCCTTTAATAGTCGGTCATTTTTAATACCTAATGCGTTTTATTTATTATTTACTCGTATATGAAAGTAAGCACTTATACTGAGCTATTATTAAGTGGTATCTTCCAGTGGTGAAATTTCGCCCATAGCACGCTGAACATGTTTTGTTTTTATTATTGTGCTTTCTGCCCTGCACTTTGGTAACATTTATCGTTGTCGGCTGCCAAGTTGCTTTGCTCATTGTGCCGGAATGACCAATTTTTGTGATTTTCAATTAAGTTAACTGAACGAGGGAGTGTGAGCGGCGGAGGGGGAATATAGTTGGGGGCGGGGGTGTAGTTGGCTAGCTAGAGAGTTGTTCGCTGTCAGGCTCACTGTATTTTTGTAACAGTTTAAGCAGCTGCCGGCTGCACTTGTGCACTCTGTATATATATCTGTTGTACACCCAAAGCCAAAACCAAAACCAGAGCTAAAGCCAATCCCAATCATAGCCGCATCCAGAAGTTAAGCCAGTGGGACAGTGGCCACGTTTCTTTGCGGCTAGCCGAGCGCTCGGCACCATTAGCTTGGAAATTTATCTACATGCACTTGACAGGTGGCAGTGGCCAGTGGCA